GTGCTTTATTCTATCGTTGGGACGCGTTGAACAAAATTTTCTTCCACCAAAAACGGCGCAATTAACAAAACAAATCGAAGGGTTCGAAAATATTTCCGAAAAAACTGTCTTTGGTTTAGTGAATTTATTCCAAGTTAGAGACCGGCACTGTAAAATCGCACGCAAGCACCGATTGCCTATTAATCTGCAAATGCAAATGCCAAAAATAATTCATTTTTCTGGCTTCGCGATTTGGAAGAAAATCAATTTTCCTTCATCAAAAAACCAGCATAGTCGGTGTTATTACATCCTCACGTATAATTAATCAACATTGGCCCCCCATTATTAATAAGAGCTCCCAGGTACAAAAAAAACCTTTATATTTAACGAACTATTGATTCAACGTGGCTATTTCTGGTGCGAGGATGGGGGATGGATGATAGATATATGCCCCAATTGGTTGAGGATGATTATTCCCCGCAAGGCTGTGATGAAAACTGTTGAAAATGTTCTCAGGACCTTGATGGTGACTGAGCAGTTTGGTAAATATTTTGGGAAGTGATTTTTTCTATATTTATTCAGCTTACGCGTTTTTTATGTTAGAATAACAGGATCATGTGAGTATATGCTCATAGAGCGTCATGAAAATGGCATGCCCGCTCACTAAGTAAGCGACAAATTTGATTAGCGCAAATATTTAGTTTAATCGCTTTAATGCAATAAATTAGTGCAAGGTTGCAGCCAGTTGAATCCAAATTTGGCCCAAGACTGCAAAGAGAACCAACTTAAAACTAGGCTTTTGTATTGTTAATTAACCGTCCAAATTGAAGACCCTGTATTTCTGCAGTCGAGTAATGAATTAAATTAAAAGCTGATTAATTGAACTCCATCGTCTGCCACCTAGATAGGCATGCAGCTGAACGAAGCTTTTTAGATTAGATAAGTGTTTTATTCATTTTTAATATTCAATATGATTGTCTTGCGCGGAGCGCCATTCACATCTTAATTAGTTAATATAGACGGGCTCGTTTCAGATTAATTAAAAAAGCCGACCGCAAAAAGCACCGTAAACCTGCCGTACATATTTAATTACAATAAAGTGGTGAAATTTTAATGTCCGAGGGCCGGCAACAAACACGAAATCCTCCAAATGGGATTATGTCTTTATTGTCGACTTCCCGTTCGCAATTAGACCAGTATTTTCGTTCCTGCTGAAAAATCGCTGAGTAACATTTGACATTTAAGGGTTTGCCAGCCATCGATTTTACCGGTTGATGCAACAAACCGATACCCATTTGCATGGAAATCGATAAGGCGCTCACTTTCCGGCAAATTCGATGGGGTGCAAAAGGAAATTTAATCGTCTAGCGCCTACCTTTAGCCACCTTCTGTAAAATGATGTCTTTATGCTCCCCAGAGTGCGGCTCCCCGATCACCACCAGCAGATAGCATCCCGTCAAAGGACTGGGGGGCGGCGGCCCCCCTTTTTCCTCCCCCAAACTACCCCCGTTAACCGCCTCCATTACCCTGTACGAACGTCACAGCCTCTTTACCCTCTATCAGCCCCCTTTGGTGCAGATCTCGCGCGATTTTTCCGGAGACGATGGAACGGTGCCCCACTAAAAGGGGGGTCAAAAAACTGATTTGGTTTAATTTGACTTGGTGTGCCCGGTATCGGAGAATGGGATCCTTCCGACCCGACTAGCTCGTCGCGAATGAGCGCCGAGAATTGCGCTATGCGGTGTTAGGGCGGGCGCCGTTCCCCCCGGTCCCCCAGGCGTCGCCTGCACCCCTCTGGACGTCCAGGAACGAAAGGGGTGCACGACGCTCAGCTGACGCGCCGCCCGACGCCGACCGTAAGGGATGATGCAACGTTGTCGTTCCACTTGTCTGCTCTACAGGGTGTTCCCTAATCACATGATCAATCGGACACTGAGGCATTCTTTGGCCCAAATCAAGACTTTTACTAGGAAAAAAGGGCCGCTCCACGGCTACTGATGGTCCCAGTTCTTAAAAAAAAAGTGTTTTTTTGTGTGTGTTTACACATCGGGAGATAGTTACGATGGATTTTAATGATTTAAGCCACCGAGTTCATCCGCTTTGGCCAACTGAGGAATTTGTGAGTGTCTTGGTACAAAAAATTCGTTTTCTTGGTACGCCGCCCACTAAAACAATACACTTTTACGAACTTACACACTTTTGCACTTTTTTACACACTTTGCAAAAAATGTAAGATCACGACCAATACCAAGACTACCTTGATTTATATTGCAAGAGTCTTGCGAGAGTATGTACATTATTAATAATTGAGTTTGTTTTCCCAATCAAAATATTTAAATATCTACAGGTTACTGTGGATGTTCAATTTCTCTGGACGAAGATCTTCTGTGTCTTAAGTGACAATGAAAAAGTATGGGTCAACAATTTTGAATTACAAAATAATAAAAAAAATGTACAAACTTCTTTTTGGGTATTTCGCCTCAAAAATTGTTTTCTTTAAAAAAGACAGAATTTCCTCGTCTTTTATTACAGATTGATAAATAGTGCTCCTATTTCGCAATAAGAT